CTAGCTGGTCTAGTGGCTAACGCGACGGGCTGGAGTTTTGAGACTCTATGACCGCGGGTTCAATCCCGGCCGGGGGTATGGTTAGTTAACCTTATGTGTTGCATGACCACATACCTGTGTCCTATAATGATCTAACATCACATAACCTCTCACATCATAATATTACCATGTGACACATTGAACATATTTTTTCCTGTGTACAGAAAACTCTATTTTAAGTATTACATAATAAAAGTAATGCTAATATTAATAATACTAATGACAGTAATTATAACTGGGCATGTTATCTGGTATATAATTTGTACACTCCCAACATAGTCCTCTGTATCGTCATGTATCTGTATATGAGGTTATAATAATAAAAAGTCTATATAACATCCCCACCATAAGTTTCTCTCACCCAGTTACCAAGAGGAATTTTTTTATTTTCTATTCTGAGTGTGTGATTCCTTGTACTTATTCCCAAGGCAGACTCCTCATGCCTCATACTCTAGAGATGCAGTGGCATGCCCTTGTTTGCGTGAAGAATGTGAAGAAAAGGAAAATCTCTCCTAGCACTCTCGAGGTGCTAAGTGCTTTTAAGTCAGGCAGTTTAAGGAATGATAAATATAGAAGTAGAGATGTCCGTAAAGATATCAGGTGGAGGGGCCCTAGTCTAGTGGGTGGTGGAGAAAATAGTGCTCTGAGGTACAGGAGCAGAGCTGTATGACATGGATTTAGCGCTTAGTTATGATTACATTATTATTATTATTATTATTATTATTATTATTATTATTATTATTATTATTATTATTATTATTATTATTATTATTCTGAAGTAAAGGAGCCGAGATGAGCAACCATTTAAGACAATGAAACAAGTTCACAGGCGTCTGACCAAATTAAAATTACCCTCACTATTAGTTAACTCCGTCCAAGGGGCTGCTATTTTATAAAAAAAATGGGACAAAATGGTCGATAACCTGCTATACGTAAACAGCACTGCACTCTTGTTTCTTGTCCCTATGAACTGGAAACTGCACTATGGCAGGTATCATTGCTTCTACAGGTGCTGCCTGGCCCTGGCCTATTATAAATTCTTGCTACCTAATTCTGGCTAAAGCAAGAGAACTCTTGGCCAGTTTTACCATAAAATGTTTTTGGCCAGTTTGCTAAACACTGCACGCAAGCTAATTAGATGCTGTACACAACCCGCACACAGGAGAAAGACACTTATGACCACGTGGCGTTCCGACTTGGATCATTAACTAGTTACACTCTAACACACGAAGGTGAGGAACCAGTATACATACCTGAGGAGGACAGGGACGAGACAAAGACAAAAGGAAGAAACAAGGCAGTGGAGATGATAGTGACATAGGTAATGCTGATAGTGGAAGTAGTAGTAGTAGTAGCTACTTACCCCCTACTGCTTCCACTCCTTCCTACATTTTTTGTTCCGTCCGTGTCTTACTCTCGTAGGACAGGGACGGAACAGTAGCCGCTGTAGACTACCAAATCATCTAGGCAAGCTTTTACACCCCTGTCTTCTGCCAACATTGGGTGTTGGAATGAGGCAGGTAAATTCTTTATTCCAAAGGAGGGTCATGAGGTAATTGTAGAGGTCCTCATGCATGATGGATGGAGTTAATTCTCTTGCGCATTTAGTGGTACATGATAGTACCCAAAAATACAGGCCCAGGTGACTAACATAAGTGAGTCCTGAGACTCTGTACATTATATTTGTCTGAAGTAGAAAATAACCTATCTCGATAATCCGTACACATTCTATAAGTACCATTATTTTTAGGTACTATTATATAGGGCGATGCCCATGAAGTTTTTTTTTTTTTTTTGATGAGACCATGTTTCAGATTTTTTTTTTCTTGTACGGCCTTTTGTTAACTGGGCTCATCCTATGTAGGGCTTGAAAGGTACGGCACTTTGAACATCGTGTTCCCAGAGAGTACTGTGCTGAGAAACATCTAGCAACTCAGTACTGTGCTGAGAAACATCTAGCAACTCAGTACTGTGCTGAGAAACATCTAGCAACTCAGTACTGTGCTGAGAAACATCTAGCAACTCAGTACTGTGCTGAGAAACATCTAGCAACTCAGTACTGTGCTGAGAAACATCTAGCAACTCAGTACTGTGCTGAGAAATATCTAGCAACTTAGTACTGTGCTGAGAAACATCTAGCAACTCAGTACTGTGCTGAGAAACATCTAGCAACTCAGTACTGTGCTGAGAAACATCTAGCAACTCAGTACTGTGCTGAGAAACATCTAGCAACTCAGTACTGTGCTGAGAAACATCTAGCAACTCAGTACTGTGCTGAGAAACATCTAGCAACTCAGTACTGTGCTGAGAAACATCTAGCAACGTAGAGAGTACTGTGCTGTGGAACATCTTGCAACCCAAAGAGTACTGTGCTGAGGAACATCTTGCAACCCAGAGAGTACTATGCTGAGGAACATCTTGCAACCCAGAGAGTACTCTGCTGAGGAATATCTTGCAACTCAGAGAGCACTGTGCTGAGGAACATCTTTCAATCCAGAGAGTACTGTGCTGAGGAACATCTTGCAACCCAGTGTGTACTGTGCTGAGGAACATCTTTCAACCCAGAGAGTACTATGCTGAGGAACATCTTGCAACCCAAAGAGTACTGTGCTGAGGAACATCTTGCAACGCAGACAGTAATGTGCTGAGAAACATCTTGCAACCCAGAGAGTACTGTGCTGAGAAACATCTTGCAACCTAGAGAGTACTGTGCTGAGAAACATCTTGCAACGCAGAGAGTACTGTGCTGAGAAACATCTTGCAACGCAGAGAGTACTGTGCTGAGAAACATCTTGCAACCCAGAGAGCACTGTGCTGAGGAGCATCTTGCAACGCAGAGAGTACTGTGCTGAGGATCATCTCGCAAGAGGCAGGTGAACTCTGGTAGTAAGGATTTAATGTCAGCAGCTTTATCAGCTGACAGGTTTTCTAAAAAAACTGGTCTGGAGACTGAAGGGTAAGAGTTTTTCAGGCTTCTATTCCTCTAATAACATCAGGAACTTCACCCTGATCTTCAGTTTGTAGAAGAAGAACTGAAGTCGACAGAAGAGTCACTATGATAAGCTTCAAGTTGATTGATGTGATAAGTATGTTCTGATCTTCTTTTGCCAGGTGTACCATGTAAGTAGCTCACATCACTTTTTTTTTAACTAGTGAGACAACAAATGAGGCTTGTAAGACAAGTCCTAGAATAAACTTGCTTGTAACAGGGCATGTTGTTGCATCAACGCGGGTATTGTACTGACTGAAGAAGTCTGGTTACCTAGCCAGACCTTCAAAATGGATACAGGTCCTCTAACTCTATGTCCATATATGATTTCAAACAAACTATAATCAAAATTTTCTTGTTCATTCTACCAGCTTCTTGAATACTCGGTGCAGAATGCTGGCATCATAAATTCCAATGGATGTAGGAAGCATTTCAGTGCTCTTAGGAACTAAGAATTATAACTGTTGAAAACACATATTGATTTCCAGGTGTGACAAAGATTCCCGAAAAATCAAATCTGGCTGATTTTCTCTAGTAAGTCGAGCCTGGGAGAAGGAACGTACCAATGTTCGAACATTGGTACGTTCATCATCTTAGAAATTGCTTCAGGATAGTGGTACGAACAATTCATGATAGTAAATATTGATTACCAAGCATTGTCCTTGGCAGTGGGCCAACACAATCAATAAAGAGTCAGGAAAAAGACCCTCATAAAGCTGGAATGGGCACAAGAGAAGCCGGTTTTGGAGACTGATTTAAGTTGCCTTTTAACTGACATGTACTGCAGTTCCTAACATGAGAGGCCACCCTTACTCTCATTTTGAACTATGTCAATTTTCTAGCCAGCTTGCCGAGAGCCTTTTTTTTTCATACCAAGATGTCCACCAAGAGGGCTACCAGGAGCAAATTCTGTGTCCTCGCCAGGACATAAAGTAAGACTGTTAATGTGGTACTTGCTCTTCCTGTCAGGAAAGTGAGTGTAGAGCACAGATTTTCTGATTTAAGATATTTATGATACCTTCGGGTTTAGCTCTTAAGTTAATTATATTATTATTTATATTATTAAGATATATATTAGACGACTTTTTTTTATAATAATATCCTTATTTCTACAAGTACATGTACAAGGTATACAGGCTTAGCTGACATCAATGACATACCGCAACATAGAAAGCCGCTTGTTATGCAGAGCATTTCAGGCAAATTAGGTTAATTTTGTCCCAGAATGCGACCCACACCAGTCAACTAACACCCATGTATCAATTTTATACTGATGGGTGAACATAGAAAGCAGATGTCTTATGGAAACACGTCCTAATGTTTTCCAGCCGTACCGGGGAGTCGAACTAAGGCCCTCACTGTGTGTGAGGCGAGTGCGCTAGCGTCGAAGCTACGGGACAAGGTAACCTTTGTTAAAGCAACAAATACAGGCTTTCTTGCAACGTTGTGTCGTGTTACTTGTTGGTTTAAGCTTTCTCCTATCATCTCATTTGTGATTATGATCTAATTATTTATTTGCAGTTATTATTTAATTAATTGGCATGTTATCAATGTATTTAAGCAAGTTATAACAACAAAAAGTTATTTATAATAGACAAAGATCGGATATTTATTTTAAGAAAAACTGATACTGTGCCACAGTGAATAAAATACTTACACATTCCATGAACATCTGAGAGCAAACCATCTAAATTCATGATTTTCTTTTCACATTTACGCACATAATGATGCATTATGACACAAGTGCCACTGGCAAAGTTAAGTAAGTAAGTAAGTAAGTTTATTCAGGTATACACAAATACAGTTACATAGAATTATCATACATAGCAGCATGTGTGTAGAGAACCTGGGATAACCCAAAAAAGTCAGACAGAGTTAACATCATCAAGTGGTACAAACTTTTTTTTTTTCACTTAATCAGGTGATCTCCCTGTTCATATGTCCATGATCATGAATATGTGTGTGTGTTTGTGTGTAATATTTCCATCTTGCTGCAGAGTGCGCAAAATGAGCGGACGTGAGATGCGGCTGCTGGTGCGCGGCGCCTCGCAGGTGGTGCGAGTCGCAGCAGCTGGTGAGAAGGTCAAGCTGAAGGCTGCCATGAACCACCTTGCCATCATCAATGCAACAAAAGACCAGGGAGTCTCTATCGCTGTTGATAAGTGAGTAACACCTCACCTAATTAATAATCTATACTCCAGGAAAGCATATTTATAACAAGCGCGATGCAATTCACTTGCAGAGCAACGTGAACTGCAGAGTCATCAGTTAAGCTGCGTTAAAGCTGTGTTTAACAAGTTAATAAGGAACTACACCAACAACTTCTCGAAGAATGAGAATAAAGCTCACTTGAGACAGGTTAAGAGAGCTCTACAGGAAAAAATACGGAAAGCTGATTTTTTCTGTGCTGTCTGCTGAGTTCAGTAGTGAAGGTCCTTCTTTACCTATGTTTTGGAGCATGAAGAACAACAGAATATACCTCTATTAAATTGAATTCATTATGACTTTACTAATATTAAAGTTTATATGTTGAAGTTAGACTTTTTTAGTTTGCGCCATATATTGAAACATGGCGAATTAAAACCAATCTAAACAGCAGAGAATATTTTAATTTTCAAGTATCAAAGAATAATAAGATTAATATTAATGTTTGATAAGGTTTAAGTTCCCATTTATTACTCGGGTTAATAAAGTTGAGTTGGTCGTAATAAAGAACGTCATCAAACGTCAAATATCAGATACAATTAATAAAATCTAGTAATCAGGGAATATCAAATATATTATTGAAAAAAAAGGAGTCAGTAATAGGGCTAGTAAATTAATAGTTTTTTTTTAGAAGCCAGAGATAAACTATTCATAAAAAGCTAAAGTAAGTTATACATGAACATATATATATATGCAAAATAACCACTGCGAAAAATAGTGAGTTTCCAACCGCTTTTGTGATTTCTCATATTATCAAGGTATTGTAAAAATAATAAAAGAGCAGAACTTATAGGTCTGATATATCACCTGACATATGACCTGACACCTGACTCATGACCTGACACCTGACTCAGCACGCTGAGCATAGGAGTTGTGGCATGGAAAGTGTGCGTAACCTTTATTCAGCGCGTGTGCAGACTCTCATTGAAAGGCTATCTCCCCCAACCAGCGAACCAGGTACTAAGGGTTGATGATGGGGCCCTATAGTTCAATCAGTACCCAGGTTCCAGCCAATGAGAAGATGACTTTGGCAATCACAGATGTGTTGTGGGTACCACACACCTGTCTGCCCTTGTCATTCCCATTCTAGAGCTGGTTGAAGCACGGTCTGCTCTCTAGTGGCTTCTGTTCTGCCTTGCTTACCGTGGAGTGCACTAATACCTATTGTTGTAATTAGTGTATATAGTGTACATAATTCTGTTCTTACTTGGTGAAGGATAATACAAGTCAAAAGTTTTTCTGCAGTGTTTATTTTGCTCCCTGTCAATTTAAATCTAGTTATACTCTAATTCTTGTAAACAACTTATATAAGACCTTAGTGCAATTACAATTGAGAGTCTTGTGCCTTTTTTATATTATTAGATTAAACACAGTTGTACTATAGTCAATACCAAATTCATTATATTAGACCATAGTGCAATTACTAGTGAGAGACTGGTGCTATTTTTAATTTGTATTTTTATATTATTAGATTAAATCTAGTTGTACTATAGCTCATTCTAGCTCAAAACATAGACTCCGCAAAAGTCATTATATTAGACCTTAGTGCAATTACAAGTGAGAGTCTTGTTCTATTTTAAATTTGTATTTTTATATTACAAGTTTATACCTAGTTGTACTTTAGTTCATTCCAGCACAACACATAGACAACATCAACTTCATTATGTGTAGTAGTGACTATACTCTATATGACCAAAATACTCTAGATATATACTTATCCAAACTTCCCACCACTACAGATATCAGTACTAGAACTCAACACACAACTCAGGATATAAATAACCATAATTTAAACCTAGAAGATGATTGATCACGTTGACCCTGATCTAAACCTCCATAATCTGACACCCAATCAAAACCTATTGGAAAGTAACTGCCTTTATTACACAGCAACACAAGCCAGCACTATCCTAAACAATGCTAAAAGTCTATCAGTACTTAACTACAACATCAGGTCCTTAAGCAAACACTATGATGACCTCCTGGCACTCCTTGAATCACTAAAGACACCCTTCTCCTGCATTATTCTTACTGAGACCTGGCTTAAGCAGGACACAATAGATATCTACCCTCTACCAGGATACACAGCAATTCACAACTGCAGACCAAACCAAGTTGGGGTGGTATTGCAATCTATTACTCTAACCAATTATCTTGAATTAGCACCACTTACTTTAGTGATGAATATGGGGAATACATTTTTGCTAATTTTACTGTAAAAAAACTTAAGACACCTATAACAATCGGTGCCATTTACCGGATACCTCACACAAACATCCCAAATTTCAGTGAGAAATTGAAGTCACTAATAACAAACAGACAAATGAATAAGCACCACCTTCTCTTAGCTGGAGACTTCAACATCAACCTTGGCTTACTAGATGATCAGCCTGTAACTGATTTCATCAACAATATGAACAACACACTTCTCATACCAACAATAACTAAACCAACAAGGCTCACTGAGACAAGTGCAACCATAATAGACCACATATGGACCAATATACTAGCCCCCCTTAAATCAGGGATAATCACAGATAGCACTACAGACCACTACCCTACCTTCCTCCTGACAAACATTAGGAAACCACCACTTGAATTCAACAAAGTCTCATGTAGACTCCATGACGAGGCCTCAATAAGGAAGTTCACAGCTGACCTAGAGATTGTTGACTGGCCTCCAGAATTCTCCAAGGCCAATGGTATTGATGACTGGACAGACATTTTTCTTAACAAATTACTTAGACTATACAACAAACATTGTCCTATAAAAACGAAACAGATCACAAACAAACGGCTTGGTTGCCCATGGCTAACCAGTACCATTCTGAAATCCATTGACAAGAAACACCAATATGAAAAGCAATATAGACAGGGCTTAATACACAAAGATATTCTTAAACACTATTCATCAGTTCTCACCAAAGTAATAAAGAAAGCCAAACAACTATACTACTCCAGTAGATTCACAGACACTAGAGGAGATATAAAAAAGACCTGGAAAACACTCTCTCAGATTCTAGGAACCCACAAACTGAAAAAAACCAAGAATATTGTCCTAACTAAACCTAATGAAACACCACTACATCCCACTGACACAGCTAACAAGATAAACGACTTCTTCTCAACCATAGGATCTAATCTCGCTCTGGTGGCCTGGTGGCTAACGCTCTCGCTTCACACGGTAAGGGCCTGGGTTCGATTCTCAGCCAGAGTAGAAACATTGGACGTGTTTCTTCCCACCTGTTGTCTATGTTCCCCATCAGTAAAATGGGTACCTGGGTGTTAGTCGACTGGTGTGGGTCGCATCCTGGGACACTGACCTAATTTGCCTGAAATGCAGAGCATAACAAGGGAGTTTCTATATAGTAGTATGTCATTGTTGTCAGCTAGGACTGTATACCTTGTACATGTACTTGTAGTAAATAAAGATATTATTATTATAATAAAATCCCACATACCAATGCCCATGCCGGGGACTACCTAGATGAGAATTTCCCAAATTCCTTCTATCTGGCACCAACTAAGCCCTCGGAAGTCACCGAGATTATAAAGTCACTTAAAAACAACTCAGGGAATCTGTCTAATGTCCCACCATTACACTACAAGCGAGCGGCCCATATCCTTTTGCATGCTATTTCATTACTTTTTAACAAGTCACTAGAAACTAGCACCTTCCCGAAACTACTCAAGATGGCAAGGGTTACACATGGGGTAGGATAAAAAACGCAGGAAGGGTGGAATTGACGGACAGAACACACTTAAGCAGAAGAAAGGAAAACAAAGAAAGAAAATAGAAAAAAAAAACTGGAACGAAGAGGTGGTAGGGAAAGGAAGAGAAGAAAGGATTAGGTCAAGTCACGAGTGTTCTGAAGTTTAAAGCATTTGACAATGTAATGGGAGAGGAAGGCATCTACAGAAATAAAGCCAGGACTAAGATTCATATAAGGAAAGTTGTGTATAAGGGAGGATTCAATAAGACAACAACTGTAAAGGCTAGAAGTAGGAAAGACAGTTTTAGCAGATGACCAGCTAATAGGATGACTGTGATCTCTAACATGACAGAAAAGAGTATTATTGGTGTTGGCAAGTTTTACACTTATTTTGTGTTCTTTAAGTTTTTCAGAAAGAGAGAGACCAGTCTCTCCAAGGTATTGGAGAGGACAAGAGAAGCATGAGATAGAGTAGACACGGAAAGCATTAATAGCAGGAGGAGAGGTATGAGCTATATTACTGCTCTTTTCTGTCATGTTAGAGATCACAGTCGTCCTATTGACTGGTCATCTGCTAAAACTGTCTTTCCTACTTCTAGCTTTCACAGTTACTGTCTTATTGAAGCCTCTCGTATACACAACTTTCCTTGTATGAATCTTAGTTCTGGCTTTGTCTCTGTAGATGCCTTCCTTTCGCATTACATTGTAAAACGCTCCAAACTTCAGAACACCCGTAACTTGACCTAATCCTTTCTTCTCTTCTTTTCCCAACTTCTCTTAATTCAGTTATCACAAGTTATATAGACTGATGGATCTAAACAGGACTCTTCTAGCAGGGCTGCATCTGCTCTTGTTGCCACCTCCCTAGTTAAGAACGATAATAAATTTGTTGAGTTAGGCATAAGAATTAACAACTGGGCGTCTACACTGCAAACTGAATTGTTTGTAATCCTAATGGCGCTAAAGCTAACCTATGACAATGAGCTTGACTCTATCATCATTACTGATTCTATGTCATCATTAAAGGCTCTTGACTCATATAATGACTCCAACAACATACTCATTGGGGAAGCCAGGTATAGATACTCAAAAATCAGGGACACGGAATTAATGTACAATTACTATGGATCCCATCACACATTGGATTACTCTTTCATGATAAAGTTGATATGTTAGCCAAGAAGAGTACCCAGAAGGAGAATGTAGAATATAACTTTGGTATATCTGTGTCTAGCATTAGGACT